AGAGATATGTGCGCATAGCTCGAGTCGAGTTGTTAATTAAAGAATACATATAATTAGTTAGTTCACAGAGGCATGGCATTGTAGAGGTCCAAATTGGGATGGTAAAAGAGCGGTGTCGGGGTAGGCGGATTATGGTGGGGTGCAGGCTGTGCCTGTATCAGGTTCAAGTTCAGGTTCAAGGGCGCGATGTGGGCCGCATTATGGTGGTTAAGGTGGTTAAGGCTAAGGTGGTTACCTGTCGGGTAGGGCAGTCCGAAACTAGGGTACCCAGAATAGCCGCGGCTTGCCGCGTATGCCGCGTACGCCGCCGCTGGGAAACCTGTGAACAGAGCAAAAGAGTCTGTGAGCTTTTCTTTACTGTGCAGTTACATGAGCTGGGAAACTTTGTAGGAGCAAGGGGTTACGGAGCGTTAGACGTTCTGTGTGTGTGTGTGTGTGTGTGTATGAGTGAATCGCAGCGATGCGTGTAAAAGGGTACGTACCGGGTGTCCCGGTTGTTTTCGATCAAACTTCGTCTGTTTATTCTGTGGGTACGAGTGAGGGAAAAATGTTGTATGAACAGAGGTTGTTTGAAGCTTTGTTGAAAAGTTGTAACAAAAATGGCATTGGCAAAAGTTACAGAGACTAGATGAACACTGTCGTTTATAAGTATTGAGATACTTATTGAATGTGAAGCAAACTTAAATAGTCATTGGAAAATTATTATCTCGTAGTGAAACTTCTAAAAATCTATTTTCATCTAAATATCTAAATTCTATTAAGGTACCATTATCAAAATAAGGTTCCAATAGTCTGTCACTGATTATGCCACAGTAAGCATTCACACGAAATTGAGTTTGAAAATGAGATTGTTGTTGGTGGTTGAACTTCATATAATATCAAAAAATTGTAACTGTCAATTTAAAAAATTCGTAGTATCGTCATTATACGAAAATCATCGTATTGTGCATAAAAAATAATGAAACTTTGTCCTCTACTTTTGTCACAAATCTACCACTTACAAGAAACACTGTATATTTTTACTGATACACGAAGAAATGTAATATTTTCTGTAGTGTAAGCGGTAGTGTACTTCGTATTATTGTTATAACTTTTTAACAAAGCTTCAAACGACCTATGTTTATCCGACATTTCTTCCTTACCTACACCCATAGAACACACCGACGAAGTTTGATCGGAATCAATTTGGGCACCCGGTATGTTGTCTCTAGATAGGTGCGATCTTTCTCTGACCTATTTCGTGTGAAGCTTGATGGTGTGAACTGGCTGAATTAGCGTTTGTTATGGATCTAGAACTTTGTAGCTGATTATTCTGAATTTTGATAGTAGTATGTTGCGCGCAATGTTACTTGTTATCCTTCTAGTAGTTACTACAGAGCGTCGAAAAAGTTCACGCTGCAAGCACGATTATCGACAGCTTTCCAAGTACTCGAGTGTAATTCGTCGAACAATAAATACGTTAAGCACCAAGGATAATCGCGAGAACTTCTCCAACACACTGTACAATATTATTTGCAGAAACTCCTACTGATCGATTATTCGATTGTTACATCGTAGTGTAAACGTGAAAAGAAAAGTGTGATTATAACAAGTTACATCTATCTACGAAGTATAAGTAATGTACGTCCTCTATCAAACTACGATCTACATGCTCCCTTGAGAGAGAGAAAAAAGTATATATTATTTGATGAAAGATTTTTCACCAAGTACGTACCGTGTGTTTTTGTTTTCTTTTTTATTACTTTACACGACATTTTCAAATTGAAAACGCCATGACATTTTCTGGCCGAAACGATATTCACGGACAAAGTTTCCTCAAGTGTGTGTGTGTGTGTGTTTGCTTTTAGCGTTTCCATACAATTCGAACGTAAATTAATATTATGTATCGTGTTCCCCCGGATGAAGCTGACGGTATATTTCTTCGGCGTAATATCGTATGACGCGTGGACGAGTTACGCGTCAACCGAGTAATTACGTTAATGAACCCTGTGTATCTTCACAAAGGTGAAAGTTTACATGGTCCTCGTTGATGTGAAACACGACTACCGTGTACGATTTTATGTATATAGATATATAGACATGTAATGGTGTGTGAATCATGCATGAGCCTGATGCCGATTCGGAACGATACGATGGGCAGAGTAGCAAATACCGTGGATTTCGATTCGCTTTTATGATTGATCGACGCGTGAATATTATAACGGTGGTCTTACGTCAAAACGTGATTGGACGTTGTTACGGAACGGTAGTAGGCATGTCACTGGACATTGGAGTCGTTTTGTTGTACATGTTCGTGCATATTTCATACTCACCATCAGGTAATGCTCCCAGGGACCACATAAAATCTACAAGGAAAAACAGACCACATTAATAACCGGGCTGAGATTGATCAGAACGGGTGAAATTATTCGGCTTTTCGTTATTGTCATTCTTTTCCCTTCGTTTACTCTTTTTCTTTTTGCATTTTGATTGGTTAGTGCAATGGTATCGTGAGACTTAATATAGAGATTTCTGCAACCAAGCACGAAGAAATATACTGAAAAATACGAACAACGATTGAAACGTGAATTTCTAAAAGTGAAAAGAAGACACTCTACTCGAATTATTCTGAACGGTACATAATTCGCGTTCGAATTGAAACTCGATTTCTTTAACAGTATTTTTCTTCGTACAGGCAAAGGTATGCGTAGACAATTAAGATATGTACATGGAGACAAGTTAATTAGAAAGCGAAGCGTTGCAGAAATTCGTCGGAATAGATGGTTCGTAGTGTAAAAACGGATGACTAGGTTTCAAACAATGAGAGAAGGATAAAAAAAAAAAAAAACAGAAAGTAAAAGTAAAACAAGAGGAAAACAGAAATAATCACAGACTGAAACAAGAAACCGGATTAAAAGCCTTCTAGGTTAGATAGAGAGTGATGGAGAAACAGTGAGAAGTATAGAGAGAAAGATAGATAGAGAGAGAGAGAGAGAAAGAGTGTTTTTTGTATAGAAATAGCGAAAGAAAGGCATCCATGAAATTTCATAATTTGATACTAATTGAAAAGACCACACAACTAAGATTCTGACTATTTATAATATGTATATCGCATCGACTATATAGCGCATTGACTAAATTCTGTGATAAGGTACTAGTAACTACGCGCGGCCGAGGTGTTTCCAATCTACGACAAAATAAACCCTCCTATGATCTATGGTTATTGTAGCCTTCAAGGTATTGGTTAATCATTTACCGTTAAGTAATATTTGCTAGGCTGACTATGTAGCTTATTAGATATCGACTAAGGGCCCGGTAATGTGTCGTGCGGTCCTGATGAAGACGCAAAGAAAAAGAAAGAGAATGAAAAGGAGAGAAACGAAGAATTTGCGAAAATTCGAACGAATTTCCATTAGAAGTTTAAATTACGCGTAACATCGATCGAAGTTTTATGGATTATCAATTTATCGCCGCGCTCGTATTCGTTCAAAGCGCGTGACACATTATCGAACACCACTACCACACTTAGATCGACGATACAATATTGAAAAAAAACACCGACCACAATACTACACTACTGTATCACTATTCTAGTGTCCATATCGACGCTGCTCTCACAATATACGCAGATGGAAAAGTATAAGAGCATTTATTCTAGCCATTAAAAGATACACTGATACATATTAATAGTATTAGTGATTTCGTACCTAAAGTCTCTCTACCGGGCTGGTTTTGATTACGTCAAGCACGCAACACAATTTCTATATCATTTCAGTGTGACATCGTTTTCTCGTCTTTTTCTTTCTCATTCTTTTTTCTTTTTTTCGTTCCCGTCTTTCTTTCCGTTCCTTCCTTTCTTTTTCTTTTTTTCTCGTCTTTCCTTTCGTTTCGTACGTCGTCTCTTTTCTTTACATCGCTCTTTTCCGACAAAATCCGGTCCGACACAACCAATGAAAAAAAGGTCCGTGTTTTGCTTCGAAAAATTTTTATCTTGTGTGTTTATTCAAATAGCCATTTCAATTATGCTGTTCGTATAGATAGATGTATTAGATTCACGTATAATATATGTAAATAGATTCGAATATTAGACATATGTGTGATG